TTAAAAGCGAATGCAGCGAAGTCGTCGAAAGCGGCATAAGAGTTTAAGTCGAGTTTATCGATTTTGCAATGCTTGATTATCTTGTTTCGGATTTTAACGAGCAATCCGAAAAAGAATAAGCGGCTTTATTCGGTCTTGCTTAAAAAGTGCATAAAAGTAAGCTTTTCGGAGACTCGAAAGAAAGTGCGATAATAGTTTTTTAAGTCGTTGATATCTCGTTTTTGTATAGCAAATTCTCGTAAGAAAGCGATCGAGTCTTTGATCTACTAAGTATCGTTTTTACGAAACTTAGCTCTTAAAGCTTTAACGAAAGCAGCTTAATCTTTCTTAGCTTTTTATTTAAGCAAGCTTTTAATAACTTCTTTGCGAAAGTTATCGTAATAACGAAAGAGCTTAATAAACCGATCGTTTTCAAAGATATTAAAGTTATTATAAGTCTTTTCGTACTTTTCGATAAAGTCGGTGATGTTAGCACTATTAAAGCAAAGAGCTTTTAAAGCACTTAGCAATAGTATACGAGTAGTTATAAAAGCGTAAAGGATAGTAAAGTCGATTATAACTAGCGCAAGGCTTAATAAAAGAACAAGAGAAGTAAGAGGAAGAAGAATAGTATAGATCTTAAGACCGGTGTTTATTTTAAAAAGCATTTCCGAAGTAAGTGTTTCCGATAAAAGTAAAAGTTTTAGTTAAGAGTCGAAGTAAGATAAGGATAGTCCGAAGCTTATAAGAATACGATTAAGAGATTTAATAAATTTAAAAGATTTTAACGAAAAAGAAAGTGATTCTGCGCCGATTTTAATATTAGAAATCTTAAAAAGGTTTTCGGTATTTTAAAGATCAGATATGTATATATATTGAAAATGATCGGGTTAATAAAAGGTTTTTGAATTGTTTGATTTTAATTCGTAAATCGAGTTTACGAGTAAAATAAGCGATTTTCGCAAAGTATTCTCGATCCGAGATTAAAAAGAGTAGACTTTTTATAAAAGTAAATTAATAGTCAAGATTAAAATTATAAAAAACTTAAGAATCAATTGATTAGCTTTACTAACAACTCCGGACTATGTTAATTGTTTTAATTTAAAATGAGAGCTAAGGTATAAAAGGATATTTTTATTAATAAGTAAAAATTCTTTTTTATTAATAATAAAAAAGAGTTTTTGTTAAAGAGCTAAAATATTGCACTTCGGCTATTTTAGCGTTTCGGTGTCCGAACTTATCGAGAATAAAGTTTTAATTGTTTTAATGTTGTAGTTATAAAGTGAAGTGCTAAATAATAAACGAAGATCAACTTGACTGCGAATCAAGCGATTGTAATAAGCTGTATAAGGACAGAAATTAAAAGTTTGAATCTTTGCGTAAGTCATTAATGTAAAAGCACTTAAAAAGATGTATTATATAAAAGCCTAGCTTTAAGGCTAGACCTTATGGTCTTATAAAAGAAGTATTAGAAAAGATGGGTAGAAAGCTCGTTAATTGTTTTAGTTAAAAGATGTATGCTCTTTTATAAAAGATGGGTCCGTCTAATGTAGCCCTAATGGCCATAGCAGGTACCCCATCAGGCAGGGTGTTTACATTAACGATTTTACTAAACTAAGTTACTTGCTTAAAAGGTATTATATAAATAAATAAAAGTTAAGTGTTTATTATAATAAAAAAAAACGCGCTCTTACTTATATAGCAACGCGATAAAGACAGCGCTAAAGACTTCCGCTACGTGATAAGATCGATTTAAAAAAGAATTGCATTTTTAATTGACACTTAATCAACAATGACAACCGCTATTTGTTTATTTAAATTGCGATAACAATCTCTTTTGTTTACATCGAGTTTAAAGAGCTTAATCACTTATTTTTTTTCTTTTTTATTTGCTTGCAGCTTAATAGCTACGCTGCTAACTTAAAGAGTGTGTTATGCGGAATAAGTATAGTTCTACTTAAGCTACATATGACATGTCATATGACTTCGCTTAGTAGCGCTCTTAATATACTAGAGCTCTTAAGTACATGTACATAGATCTTGACGAGCTTCTTAAATAAAATATACCAAGCTTCATTCAATTTACAGAATCTCTTCCTGATCTTAGTGCTAGTAAGCACTACAAGAAGTAAAGTAATAAACTACTTCTTGCTATTCGAGATCTTTAATTTAAGCTTTAATAACGACGATTGCGATTGCATAAAAGTCTTTTAAAAAGTGAAAAACGTATTAGAATTTAAAAATAAATTTAAAGAACTCTTTAACTTAAACGTTTAAACGAAGCTCCGCTTTAGCCGCAGAGTCTTACCGTCCGCTACCGACTTGTTAAATAAAGTCTTTTGCGAAGTTTATACTTTTAAATACGCTAAATACTTTAAGCTAGTTACGAAAAGCTTTATAATAATAATAATCCGTTTTAATTTGTGTCGATTTATCGAAGCTTTTTAAATTAACGCTCTTAACAACTTTATACTTTATTCGAGCAATTAATCGATGTTCGCTATTAAGATTAAAAGCAATACTTTAGCTAAAAGAATATTTAGTTTAAGCTCTTTTAAGTTTAAAGCTAAGCCGATATCTTTTAATAAGCTGAACTAAAGCATTAGCTTGATAAGCATTGCTTAAAAGAACAGCTTTTTTAATATTATAAATGCGAGTAGCTATACGAAAGTTTAGCTTATGTTAAGAGCTTCTTTTTTAAACGATAAGCACGGCAACTAGACTTTTTTTATTATTATAAATAAAAAGATTTAAATGTATTTGCACTACTTTCGAACTAGTGATTTAAAAAGAGCTTCGACTAATGCACTTTTTAATATAGTGCATTCTTTAACCTAGCAAGTCTTTTAAAGCTATTATAGGCTATACCTTACTGCTTTACTTAATCGCCGAGACGAGAATTATAAGCTTATCGCTTATTCGAAACTTTTTTAGCTTTTTAAATATAATAATAATGCTCGAATGATTACGATTAAATACGACGTTAATATTAAACGACTTGTAAATCGTAGTTTACGAATAAAAAACAGAGTTTTAAATTATTACTTAATGCTTTACGGCGTAAAGAATCAGATCGGAAGCTTAGTTATTTAGTTTAAAAGCTATATTTACGATATTACTTTTAAAAAGACCGCTAAATAAAAAGCTTTTAAACTTAAGTCGAAAACTTTAAATGCTTTTAAAAACATTACGCTACGCTAACCTTTCGCTATAATTAATAATCTCGCTACTTTTATATCCGTTATTACGAAACAAAGTGTTTTCTTAAATATAAACGCTTTTTAAGATTCTTTTTACGGATAAGCTATTTTCTTTAATAATTATACCGTTTTGCTAAACGATAGCATTTTAAAAAATAAAGTCAGCTTTATAAAGCACGCTTGCATTATCGTTTTAAAACGCATGCCGCTAACCTTTTAATAAAGAGTTATTAATAAATCAAGTTAGCTTTTCGTTATTATAATCTAGTTAAACTACGTTAGTTTCGTATTAAAAGCTTTGATCGGAAGAATAAATTAAAACGAACTTCGAATAATAAAAGAATTAACCGTTATCTTTGCTATATCTCGGACTTAATTTTAAAAACACTTTATTAAGTATAAAAAGAAGTTGTTTTCGGCATTTAAAAAAGGATTTGCTATCGTTTTAAATATTAAAGCTAAGACTTACGGAGCTAAGTTTTTTTTTAAAAGCAAGAGCCGCCGAGCTGACGACTTTATAAACGCCGATAAGTTGAAAGATTTTAAAAAAAGCTTGCGACCGATTAAGTTGTCTTTTAACGACTTCGATTTAAGTGTAAAGATTACTTTAAAAAGTGCGAAATCTATTTGTAAACTACGGTTTACGAGTTAAATCAGCAACTTTAAAAGATCTTTTTTTTAGCCGGAATCTTTAAACCGCGCATTTAATAAAACTATAAAAGCTTTAAATAACTTGCTCGAAGACGAAAACGACTTAATTAATAGCTTCGGACTTTATTCTAGCTTCGCTAACTTTCCGTCGGCCAAGTTTATACTTATTAACGATGTTATTAATAAGCGCAAGAACGACACGCGCTTTTTCACTTTTAAAGATGCTATTGCTAGCACGTTATCGTTTAATACTAGCTTTGTTAAAAAGAGAAGACCTTTTCAGCTTGAAAAGAACGAAAGAATTAAAGACGTAAGCACGAAAAGAGATTATAAAAAAGCTATTAAAGCGTAGTTTAAATGTTTAAATGTTTAAAGTTTAAAGATAAAATACTTTTCTTTTTTTTTATATATTAGATTTTTTCTTTTTTTTATATTCTTTTTTTTTTTTCTTCTTTGCTTAATAATAAGCGGAAGCGCTTACTTATTTTATAAAAGGACGGATATAAACACTTTACTTGATAAGGTACTTGCTATAGTTATTAAGGTCATACTAAACGGACTTATCTTTTATAAAAGAGCACATATCTCTTAGCTAAAACAATTAACGAGCTTTCCACTTACCTTTTTTAACACTTCTTTTGTAAGACTATAAGGTCTAGCCTTAAAGCCAGGCTTTTGTACAATACATCTTTTTGGATGCTTTTACAATAGCCTTCATAATAAAAGAGATTATAACGCTTTAACGATTTTTCAAAGAGCTGCACTTTCGTTTTGCGGCGCTTTAAATAGTTTATTATAATAATCAATAGACTATTAAGCTTATAGTTAGTAAAAAAGAGCGCATCTCTATCAAGCTTCGTTACGTCGATATTCATAATATATAATTGCGCTAAGAACACTTTAAAAAGAGCTTTCAAGTTTAATATCTTTTTATTAATAAGATGTACGCTGACGGTCTTATAAAGAACCTGACTTAATAAAAGTTTAAGAGCTTTATCAAGCTTTTAAATTTACAAGACGCTCGCGCGTTTATCGAGAAGCTTTAATAGCACGCATATGCTGCTTACTTATTATATTTTTTTTTTATTTGCACGTGATTCAAAAGAAAAATCCATTTAGCAATTATAGCCGTTATTCTATCTTATCTTACACGCTTCTACTTTTCGCCTTTTATAACAAAAGATTAACTAGAGCTTTTAGCAATCTCTTCGCTTTAGCTCGGCGCTCCGCAAGAGTTATAGCAACGGCGAGCGCCGCCGCGAAAGCGGCAAGCGTAACAATTAACGCAAGAAAAGCGACGACGACGAAAGCTGCGAAAGCGACGAAAGTAACAAGAGCGGCTAGCGCAAGCGCAAGAGCTATTATAATAGCAGATTAAAGCTTTTGCATAAAGTCCGAAAAGAAGTTCTAATTAAAAAGAGCTGCTTAGATTAGATTATTTCGAAAGTCAAAGAGCTTGACTTACGAAAGAGTGATATACTCGAAGCGCTCCGCGTTATCGAACCACGGTTCGTTGCTACAAGACTATTTAATTTAATAAAAGCTATATTTAAATTGAAGGTCTTAAAAGCAAAAGCAAAACTTATAAAGCTATCGAGACTACTTTTAAAACTTCTACTTCTACTCGCTAGACCGCTCGGACTATTAGCAGCACTTTTTAAAAGAGCAGCATTTAAAGCGAGCTGTTATCGCATAACATCTCGAAGACTTTAGCGAACTCTTTATATAGCATTATTGTCTTTAGCGCTTACGAAGTTATCGAAAGCGGTGTTAGCAGCGGCAAAAGCAACGGTGCAATTACTATAGCTACTTTTAGCATATCGGAGATAGCGTATAACGCTCGTATCGCAATTATAACAATCTCTATTAGACCTCGATATGATCTTACTATTAATGCACTTAATATACTTTAAAGCTTTAACGGTCGTTAATATAAGCAAGCGCTTAATAAGAAAGTCTAAGGAAAAGGGCGAAGCTTCGAAGGTAAAAGTGCGTAATATAGCCGCCGCAGCCGCCGTAACTGCAGCAGCAGCAATAGCTAAAGCAAAGAAAGGATTCTTTTAATAGTCAGTATAGATATATTAATTTATTAAAAGCATTTACTTTTAAACGGCTTCGGTCGCGCTTAACGATTCTATTAGATTAAGTTACTTGCTTGAAAGGCATTATATAGATAAATAGAAGTTGAGTATTTATTATAATAGAAACGGACGCGCTTTTACTTATATAGCAACGCGACAAAGACGGCGCTAAAGACCTCCGCTGTCGGTATCTCTATATCGACCTTAGCTAGTAGTAGTAGTAGTAGTAGTAGTTGGGGAACTTACCCGTGAACCATGGTTCACGGGCCACTTGGCATGCCTCGCTTAGCATGTCAGCAGTCAAGGGACCTCTAACTTAACTAGTAAAACTATTAGCTAGCTAGTATACGTGATTCCTTTTAATTATATAGAAGGAATCAGCTCCCTTGAGCCTTAAGGAGCAGACAGAATTCAGATACTTTATCAACCGAGTGTTTTGCAATTGCAAGTACTTTAACGACCTTACGAAGTTACGAATATATTTTTAATCGCTTAAAAGCAATTTAACACTGATTAATAATTGATTTACTATTAAGTGATTAATTATAAAGAAGTTAAGAATACTTTATAACGAAGATACTTTTAATACGATACTTCTTTCTTTTTATAACGAAAGAGCGATTCCGTATTAAGTCGCTTCTTATATTACCGATTTTTCTTTATTCTTACGAAAAAGTGATTCCGAACCAAGTTACTTTTATACAACTTTTAAAGCTATAAAGCCGCGCTTGTTATACATAGCAAACTTAACTAATAAAATCGATCTACGTACGAGCAGATAATAATTATAGCCGATCGAGCAATTAGACTTTTAAGTAAAGAGTCTAGCCGATAAAGAGCAGTAAAGTATTATACTTTTCGAGTCTTATTACTACTTACGGAACTTTTAGCTATTTAATTAAAAGGACTATTATACTTAAGACTCTTAAGCCTTTCGAAAGGACTAGACGACGAGATATCGAGCATTTTATTTAACTTAAACGAGCTATTATACGCAAAGCTAAACAATGAAATTACGGCTCGAGCAATAATAAAGGATTTCTTAAATGCGAAGTGTAAAAGGCTAAAGGATTACGACTTATAAAGCTTGTTCCGGCACGCTTTCTTACGTTAAGATTAAACGAGCTTTACGATAACGAAAGACAATATAAGACGAGGCTTTAAGTTTGCTACTTTTATTAGCTTTAAAGAACACTTGCTATTTAAAAGCGTATAATGCTTTTTAAAGCAAAAAGGCTACGCTAATAAGATAGTTAAGCTCTTAAACGACGAGCAGCAGCATTAATAGACTTACGAAGAAATAAAAAAGCAATAAGCAACACTTTTAAGCTTCGATTTAAAATAAACCGCTGAAAACTTTACGGACGACGAAGATATTACACTTTAACTTCTTTTACTTTCGCGAAGCTTAAAAAAGAAGGAAAAAGAGACTTTAAGCAAGAAAAAAGAAAGAAAGGAAATCTAAAGGTTGCGAAAAGAATTTTTAAAAGAGAAAAGAAATATAAAACGAAATATAAAAGCTATAGCAAAGCAAATAACGGAATTACGAACTTACGCTATATAATCTAACGAAAAGCTACGACGAAGCACTTTAGCGTACTCGACGCTCTTAATTTATTAATCGTTACGCAATACGCTAATCATATAAGAAGAGCTAAAATCATTTTAACGGCTTTTAAACCTTTTTTTTAAAAGTTACAACCGGGTTTTTTAAAAATTAAGATCGAGTAGTAATAATAACGGCTTCGAAAATATAATCAAGCTTGATAATACGCAAAGCAATAATAGTTATACGTTAAAAAAAGACCCGTTAAAACTTAAAAGCATTCCGAATAAAATCAGCTTTTATTAAAGATAGCGTGCAGATTTCCGTGCTTAACTTTAGCAACTCGAAAAAAAGATTTAGCACTTTCGGACGTACCGATAAGCTTTTTAGATCTTTTAATAAGCTACGTATCGATAAAAAAGATATTAAAAGTATAAGAATCGTTAAGAGCGCGCTTAAAAGTATAAATACTATCGAGCTAAAGCTTTAGCCGGTGACTCGAGTAGCTTTAGCGATCTTAACGATAATCGACGAAAAAAGAACGAAAGAGATTAGCAAGAAGATCGAAGCTACGGGTACGGAAAAAGTAAGAACGGCCTTTTTAGATTATTAAAAAGATTCGAAAACGGACTTTTAAAAGACTTCGGATTCGGAAATAAGCTTTTTAAAAACTTTAAAAAAAGACGGACCATTAGCAATTATATTAATAACCTTTTACCGATTAGATTATTAATTAAGCGCAGCACACTTGCGTACGGCACTTTAAGCGCTTTTAACGATAATAAAAATGATTTCCTTGAATTAAAAATAGCAGACTTTCATTTAAAAGCGAAAGAATTAGTTTTGTTCGCGCGAAGCTTTTTTAAAAAGCTAAAGTATTTAAGACTCGACGATGACTTTAAGACTTAATTAAAGATTTTTATTAATTAAGCAAATCGATACGGTTTGACTTCCGACGATTACTTAACGGCGTTTCCGATTATGCTTATAAAAGAAGCTATAACCTTTTATTATAATCACGTTATTAAAGTTAAGCTTCCGACTTTCAAAGCAAACGTTATTGTAATAAAAAACTACTTCGAAACTAATTATCAACGGTAAGCAAAATACGATCGTTAAAAAGAAATTTCGCTAGATTTAATTAAAAAAGAGAATCTAAGGACCTCGCTTAACAAATGCTTTAAAAAGCTTGTTAAAGAGCTTAAAAAGATTTAAAGCTCTTTACGATTAAGTTTAAAAGATGATCGAAGTTTTGCTAATAAGTTATATTTAACTTATAAAAACGTATTAAAGATTACGATTACACGAATGAACTTTGCTTTTACTTTTACCGCGGCAATTATTAATATTCGTCGAGCAATTGCGTTTGCTATTAAGACCTTTCGACTTTTCGTTAAAGCTAAAGCTTACGCGAGCTTTAACGAGCTATACGATTACATTTGCTTTTATAACATTTTAAAAGCTAACTTCGATTTAAACGAAAAATACGAATGCTTTATTCAAAACCGCTAATACTTCGGAAGTAAGAAAGCTGCTAAAGCTATTAAAAGTAAGAAAAGGTGTTTTATTTGCAAAAAGCTAAGTTGCTAAAGCATTAATCACATTCCCGACGAAAGAAAAGCATCCGTCGTTAAGTTTTAAGCTTTTAAAGACGTAAAAAAAGTGACGAAAAGCAAATTCTTTTAATACGTAGCATCGATTAAAAGCTTGCTATTTGTATTTATAAAAGAATTCGATCAGTTCATCGCAAGCTTATTAAACGAGCCGCTCGAATCGAGCAGCTACGCTAATATATCGGAAGGTTTTATAATTACTTACGGCACTTTTAACGCTAACGAAGTATACAAACAGCTAAAGATTCAAACGGTATTCTACGTCTTTATTAGCTAAATAAAGACTTAAAAAATGCTCGAGCAAGATCCGCGTATGCTCGCGGGCAAAGCAAAGACTTACATAGCTTTTAAATACTTTAAAAACGTATTCATAAGCTTTATAATTAATAGCGGAGCAGCTAATTTCTTTACCGTTAGCTTGCTTTAGTTACGAGCACTTTAAAAGAAGTACTTCGAAGTTTAATTAAATATATCTCGAGTAAAAGAAAAGTCCGTTAAGTATAAGATCGGCTTTATTACTTTTATTAAAGCAGTTACTTTAAGTACTCTTTTAAGTCAAGTAAAGTTTTACGTTGTAAAGAGCGACGTACTTTTCTTATTTTTATTAGCTAATATAAATAAGCATAAAGTGATCTTAGATAACTTATAAAACGTGTTAGTTTAAAAGAAAAAAGAAATACTAATAATAAAGATGTTTAAGCACGTATAGATGCTATTAAGTAAAGAGCACGCTATTATCTATTATAGCATCGAAAGCGAGACCGTTTATTACTACTTTACGAAAAAGCAATTAAAGACTATTTATAAACGTTTTAATTACTTTTTAACAAGTCGATTTGCTGCTGTTCTTAAAAAAGCCGAGCACGAATTCAAACGGAATTTGCTTTATAACATTTAAAAGTTTTGCTACTATTGCTAAGTATTCGAACGTTCTTCGAAGAGATTTAATATTAGACTTAAAAATAATATTAACTTTAATAACACGGTATACGTCGATATAATGCACTTAAACGGCAAGAACGTATTGCATATCGTTTGCGATTTTATTAATTTTTAAGCCGCTATTTTCTTTAAAAGCATGTTTGCATAGCACTTATTTAAAAGATTTAATCGATATTAAGTCAATACTTACGTCGGGCTTTTTACAAACGTAATACACGATCTCGGAACCAACTTTAATTTAACGATGTTTCGAAAGTACTTTAAAAGTATTAAAAGCATTCCGAAGCAAATGCTTATAAAAGCTTATCATAACGTCGAGCTAATAGAACGCTACTACGTCTTTGTACGACGCGCTTTTAAGATCGTTATAAAAGAGTTTTTAAAGGCTTTAAAAGAAGACCGGCTTTAAATAGCTATTAAAGCTATTAACGATATAATTAAACTTAATAGCTTAGTTCTTATACTCTTCGTTTTTAAGACTTTATTAAAGCTGACGAAACAAGATCGACTTGCCGCGTCTACTTAAGAGCGTGCTACTGCTATTAACAAAGCTATAAAAGAAGTACGAAAATGCTACGCAACGAAGCAGGTTAAAGACGCGCTTAAAAAGAGGAATAAACTAATTACGAAGCATACTTTAAACCTTTTTATTAGTTTACGAGTACTCGTATAACGAGAAAATCAAAGGTAAAAAGGCCTTTTTTAACTGCTTAATAAGCAAAGGCATACGTGCATAATAGCATGTCCGAAGCTTACGGAATTCAAGTCAACTTTAATAAAACCTTATTACTTTAAAGTTAAAAAGCTGTTAAAAGAGTTGCAAGTACTTAAAGTAAAAGTAAAAGAAAAAGTAAAAGAAGATTAAAGCGAAAGCGAAAAAGAGCTAGAAATACGAAATTCGTTTAAACTTTAACATTCGCTTAATCTATTAAGGTCGCTTAATTTAAAAAGCTCGTTAAGATTAGCAAACAGCTTTTTTAACTTTTAACTTATTAATTCTTAAAGACTAATAATACTAATAGTTTAAATACTTTATTAGAAGTACGATTTTAGCATCTCGACCGTGCTCGACGAAAAAGAAAACGATTCTTACGTTTTATTTATTAAAGACTCCGAAGTGTGTATTATCGATAAAAAACGCTAAGATTATAAGCTT